TCCCAGTAGAAGACATTAGAAAGAAAAATTAACGGTGCCTTCGAATAATTTTTGCGATTGAACCTAAAGAAAACCGTCCAAACACGAAAGCAAGATTCAAGATAAGCGTTAAAGTCACCTGATCGGAAAAATACAGCATAAATATCTAAAACGAGAGGAATTGTGTTATCAAGAAGGTCCTTAAGCGCAAGATATTCAGCATCTTTACATAGCGATCCAAACTTTGATTCAATGATTGTGGAAATTTCTTGCCAAGCACTACGAGAAATCTCTAAAATGAGATTAATACGCTACAGCTTAGGGTTTTGCGCAAGAGGTTTTGAATCTCCAAAAACATAATGATACAATGCAGAAAAGAATGGCTGATATTGAAGAAACACCAATTCGTGGCTATTTAACAAAATATGCAAAGGGCCTATAATAGGAAGAAAATACAAAACATTATTAGTAATGTTCGATGAATCATGATAACATAAGTAACGTAAAATAGCTGTTTGAGGATAAATCTGCCCAGGCCAATTAGCTACAAGAGGAATAACATGTTCTTTTTCAAGATATTGTCGTATAGATGGAACTCCTGTAACTACGTTAATCGCTTTAATATAGTTCTCTAAAGAATGAAGACCATTTTCTTGCAAATCCACAAGAACGATGTCTTTCAACGAACAAACATGCTATTTTTTCTTTAACCTAATATCATAACAATGCACGGTTAATTCATCCAATCTTGTATCATCATTAACCGCATGAAATCCCCAACGACGGTTGTGTGAAAGGCCGTAAAGCATCATGAATCTATCTTTTATATTAGTATTGATGATATCTTCATGTTCTTCAGAAGCAGAATTTTTAGTTTGCATAACTGTACGGGATGTAACAGTAATACCTAAATCTGCAAGAGTATCTATAGAAATGTTAGAAGCGCCGGTTGTATCCAAATACATTTTTAAATCTCTCTTAAAATTGTTAATAAACTTGTTTCGCATTCCACATAAAAAATAACATAAAAATAAGAGCTGCTTTTTTACCAGTAACCGTGAATCTTTATTTTTTGAATTCGGGTTGGATGACAAATACAGCTCATCAAAAAAAAACTTTAACTCTGTGTTCTCTTCTTCCATAACTGCTCGAAATTCATCAAACGAGTATATTGTCGATTTATGTTCTCTGTTTTCACGAATGTACAAAATATCTGTCATAATCTTTACTGCTTCAGAAAAAGACAAATGATCGCCAGCTTCATCGGTCTTGACAGTTTCAGATCGCTCTCCAAAATCAGTGCTTTCAATTTCAACGATCTCAGAGATCTCAGATTGCTGCATACTCACTTGAGCATGCTGTTGGAAGTCTAGCAAACAGTTTACCATTATAACAGTTTTGGCAAAGCATATCACCTATTTTCACATAATCTGGTAAAGTATTGTTAGTTTGACCTTTGGAAATAACGTTTTCAGTTACCTTTCTCCAAGTTGCTGATTGCTGAGCTTGACAAAAGGTAATAATACACCTAGTCATCTTTGTTTTTAAATAACTTTTTGGGTTTTCTGATTATTTTCTGATTATTTTGCACAGTAAAAGGCAACGCTCTTCTAAAACTAATTATGAAAAAAAAAAAAATTTTTTTATAGATAAAATGGTGAAACGTTATAGTTTAAAAAAGTACTTTAAACTGTATAAATTAGTTACCCGGGCAATTGATTTACATTAGCCAATCAGACGAAAGTCCTCCTATAAGGGGTACCCTTATAGTAAATAAATATTACATAATATCTGTTACAGCCCTTATAATAAAAATAATTATTTTTATAATATAACAAAAAAACTTTTAATTAATAATTAAGTTATCAAATTATTTTATATAATTAAACTTTTAGTATTAATATAGAAAAAATTTAAATAGTGCTCCTGTATACTCAGTATATCCTCTATTATATAAATAATTAAATATAATATTAAGATTAAGATTAGAATTAGAGCTAAAAATAAAGTAGTTTTATTAGTAAAATTGTACAAGAAATATTTTTTATTAGTTATATAACAGGGGTTATTTTAGTAAAATTTTGCTTTTTTTTTTTTTTTTTTTAATTCAGTGATCTTGCCTATTACTTTTTTATTTAGAAGTACCAAAACTCATATTAACAGAAAGATATAATTTCTATACTATATTCTATATGAGTAAAGATCAACTCGAGCAAAGCTTAACAAATAATTTACCTAGCAGCAATTAGCTTCACATTGGATTTTCAACTTACTAAGAATTTGAACCCTTTGATCCTTAGCTCTAGCAGCTGTATACTTCATCAAAAGAGCCAAATTAGCTAAGGTACAAATACAGAAGAGAGAAAAAAAAAAAAATACAGAGATAAAAGGGGATATGATAAAAGATATAAACAAGAAAAAAAAAGAGATGAGGGGATATCAAAAAAAATAAAAAGATAAAATTTGTCTATTCTAACAATTACTATTATGAGCCCGTGAATGGCTTGTAAAAATTATATATTACTAACTAAACTAGTTTCTACTTTAAATTTATCTAAATAGTATATAGAAATTCAAAACTAGTAGAAAAATACTTCTTCAATCATAAAAGTAGAGGTTGGAACTCGATTTTAGTCTTGGAGCATTGTTTAATTAGATTGTTATATTCAAGACACATGTCTTAACATGTTTGTTATCCTGTTATACTGATTTAGAAAGTAAATAATGCTAACTGTTTTGGTGTATGTGATATTAATCTTTTAGAGAAAGTAAGCTAAAACACACTTTTTACAAAAATTTCTTCAAAAAAAAGTGGTGGGCTAACAAGAGTATATAAGGTTCTTCTTGTAAGAATTATAGTAGTATAATCTAGTTCTTCTGTTTCTATTTGATATTCTTGTACTAGATCCAATAGTGATATTGCTTTCAAAATATCCTTTTGGTTTAGATGTTAAAGGTATAAAGAGTCTACTTCTTTTCTTTTTGCTATTCTTAGAGACTTCTCTGGTTTGGATGCCGAATATACAAAGAAGTTTACAGCATAGCAGACAAACCCAAATTTGATAATAATTTTTATAATTGAATAAAAAAATTTTTTTCAACTTTTTATATACGTTAAAGTACTTTTTATTCTTGTGATTTTTTGAAATCTTACTAATTAAATACATTTAAAAAAAAGTAACAGAAAAAACTTTCAAATACTTATATTCTATTAAAATTAATCCAAAATAATCTTAATATTCGAAAAGTTTTATTAGAGATAAAGTTTATAAGAGATCTAAGATAGTTGAGCCTGTAATTCAAGCCACGAAAGTATTTTGGTGTGAAAACTAAAGACAAATAACACAAAACTAAGATCCAATACTTTTAAAAAAAGCAAAAAACAAGTTCAAATAGTTTTATATAAAAAGTAGAGTAAAAAGATAAGTTAATTAGTTTTTTTATATCTTTAAAACTAAAAATTATGCTTTATGAGTTTATAAATTAAATTTTACTAATTTTTAATTAATTACAACTTTAAAATACAAATTGAAAATGATTTTAATTAGTGATTCGCCAGTTACCTGGTGTATGATCATAGTGTAATATGATACAAATCACTATATAAATTACATATACTCTGAATGTGGTGTTTGCCCAAGAAAAACTTTTTTGTACTAAGTTAATCACTCTTCTGTATTAAGTAAAAATTGTAGAGCTTGTCAAGGCACATCTAATAGTAGTTAAATCATCTAAATCGGACTAGTAGTTGTTGAGATATCACTAAAAATGATTAGTCAACTATGTAAAATTTTTATATAAACAATAGTTTGTTTATATAGAATTTTATGGTTATGGTATGATTATTTACCTAGCACGTATGAATTCTGTGCCAGGTTTTGTCGATCATTTATCATGTGATGCAGTTCGGGTATACAAAATGTGATTCCCCATATTTGTATAACTTCAGTATTTCAGAAAATTATTACGATTATATACTATATATAAAATAATGGCACAAGATTTGATTTTCTGCACTTTACGTACATTTGTATATATGTGTGTATATATCAGATATGCATTATATACATATGCACTTAAACCAAGTTATATTTATGTCGTACGTACATACGTACTTGCTGAATATTTTAATACACTATTAAAGATATATTTATAAGGTTAAATACTTGTGTCCAATGTCTTAAACATTCAAACTTATATATAGATGGGCATAACTAGTAATGTATAGTAATATATAGTGATATATTTGCTCTCTAAAATAGATTCACCAGATTTTTTATTAATAAATGTAAAAATTTAACTTTTCGGAGGTTACTTTTTTTTTAATAAAGTGTTTTTTTAATTTAAAATATTGAATAAGAAAGGACGTGGTTGCATAGTCTGCTTGAACATTGAGTGAAGCTATATTGTTCTCACTTATGCATTCTGTTTGAAGGCTGAGACTACATTGTCCTCTGATTTTGTATTGAAGATCGTGTCTTTAAACCTAATAATGCTGCATAACTTAAAAGCTGAGTTATTGTATATTATTACCAGAAGTAGATATAAGTTCTAACGTTTTGGAATCTGTTACTCAGATATTTAGAATGAAGCGAATTGTTTGTTCAATCAATACATTTATCACTATTACCAGTACGCATCTTATTTATCTATTTATTACAATTATTTTTGCTGTTTATTATTTTAATTTATAGTGAACAAGTGAAATTTTTTAGGTAGATCTTTCTATTTAATTATTCAATTTTTAAAATCTTCGATAGAATAACAATAGATTTAAATTTGACAGAAATATATAAGCAACTCAAAAGATTTTTTTGACCAACATGTATGCAATTTTTTTTCTATATAAGTTATATATATGTTGTGCGTGATATTGGAATGTGCATGGATTTAAAACTGAGTTGCGTCAGATTGAAATTTAATTTTGAGATGCGTAAGATTCAAATTTATGATTTGCGTCAAATTAAATTCATCAATTACATATAAAGCAGAAAAAACAAATAATTAAAATAATACACATATTAAATTTGAGCTTTGTTATCACATGTATTTCCACTGTGGCATTTGCTTCCACATCTAGCGCTAGCTTTTTTGCAATGACATTTATTAGTACTACAGCTACCTTTACATTTGCATATTGTTCCCGTAAATGTACCAGAATTCTGGCTTCGCGCTGCTTCTCTAACAGATATATAATCTGTTGGGATATTTTCTAATTCTGAAAATTCTCTTACGCCTAATGGTTCCATTTCTCCTGCACAATATAGATTATTCAATATACCATCTTTGCACCCAAGACGGTATTTAAATGTATCATTATGATTCAACTTATTTAAAATTCTACATGGAAGGATGGGCCGATCTGTATCAAATCGATCAATTTTGGGAATAGAAATTTTTACGTATTCTCCAATTTCATATTCTAACCTACGCTTCGATTTCACA